TCTTTTGCTTCCCTGTATTTTTGAATTCTTCTGCACTTATCAATCATGTTACTATTAAAGGTTTTGTTTTTTTGTATTTGTTTTGTTTTGTTTGTGGGACACACCCGGTTTGAACTCAGGGTATCCTCCTGGTTCTGTGCTCTAGGATCAGTCCTGGTGAACTCAGGGGATTATATAGAATGCCGGGGATTGAACCTGGGTCGGCTGCATGCATGGCAAGCACCTTACCCACTGTACTATTGCTCCACCTCTCCACCCTCCCAAATGTTTTTTCTTTGTAAGCATGAAGGTTTGTTTCTAACTAGTGCTATGACCATAGTTTATGTCTGATTTGTATGGCATTACTTATTGTAAAGGAGAATAGAAAATAATATACTTTCTCCCCTCTTCTTTTCCATCAAGTAACTGCTCTTAAGCAGATTATCTTCAGTGGAAACTCAATTGTAAATTTCACTTGGACAGTGCCTGACTCTGCTATTGAATTCACCATAATGAAACCCACCATGGTGGAAGGTTCAGAGAGTGAACAAAAGAAATTCATTGGGTTGACTGGCCTTTCCATATCTGTCTTAGGAAAAAATGGAAAGCAAAAAAGGTGATAAAGAAAGAATGAAGGGAACAAAGACAAGGTAGAAGTGTGTGTGTGTGTGTGTGTGTGTGTGTGTGTGTGTGTGTGTGTGGTCAAAGAAAAGAGAAAAGAAAAATGATAGAGACACAACAGAAAGAAGAAAACAAGGTAAGACTGCCTTGGTCCCCTGCTTGTGTGTGGGCAGCTTGTGCCAGGTACTCCATGCTTAGGGTATCAGGGCATACCTAGCACACAGGGAGCACCTACCTCCAAGGGGTAGGGAGCACTGAATTCCACTTCCGCAAGGTTCCATTCTGTATTTCCTGGATTGTCCATTTTCCAGATTTCTTCATAAAGGCCAGCAGCGTCCCGAGTATAAAGGGAGAAGACATTGTCGTTTCCTTGCTGAACTTGGTAATAAAATGACAGGCAGCCAGACATGTAGGCCGTGGTCATTGGAGAGATAAGCTGGGCTACTTCTTGGAAGTGTTTGACATAAACTGAATCCACGTACATGTAGTGACCTAAAAACATGGACAAAACACAGCCTAAGACAGGTGGGGGCATTTTCAGATGGAGTGGTGGACTTGTGTGGGAATAAAATTAAACATAATCTGGTAAGAGATGCAGAGAGGAAATGGACGAGTTAATGATGAAAGATGCTCGGTCATAGGTTGATGTATGTTACAGCTGGGCGAAGAAGTACATGGAGTTTATTGTGTTCTGCTAAATACAAGATAAGGACCATTCCTTTGCTTGACTGTTACAGAAGGAAAATATACTCCTGGAAAGGTGGAAATAAAGGAATCTGTAAAGCGCCTGCATTTTGACATGCTGAACACAGCTGTGAAACATAACAAACCATTGTCCTAGAAGAACCCCTCCCCCAAGTCTTTGAGCTCTTAGGATGTTTGAAAGCATACCATCTTCTCTTAAAGGGGACAGATGGACACTCTCCAGTATATCTTAACAATCTACACAATATTCCACTGTTAAATGAAACTGAGATTTTTCTATTCAAACTAAATGACAATTTGTGTGTGTGTGTGTGTGTGTGTGTTTGTGTGCATTTAATAGAACAGATAAGTCAATTCACACTGAATAAATAGAATTAGGATTTGGAAGGTTAAACTTGTGATACCAAACTTGGCAAGGTTGACAAACTCTGTACTCAGAGACTGACCTCCATGAAGGGAATTTTGGTGAAATTAAGAAACCAAAACCCTCCATAACATTGAAGCTAAAGGTATCTTCAAAGATGACACCCCACTGACCAAGCAAGTGAAAACAGAGATAAACAAATGGGACTATCTTAAACTAAGAAGCTTCTGCACTTCAAAAGAAACAGTGACCAAAATACAGAAAGAGCCCACAGAATGGGAAAGAATATTTACCCAATACCCATCTGATAAGGGATGAATGTCCAGGATTTACAAGACACTAGTAGAATTTTCATTTCATTTTTCATTTCATTTCATCATCCTGTTATTCGTCGATTGCCTCGAGCAGGCCCCAGTAACGTCTCCTTCATCCTAGCCCTGAGATTATATTCAAGGCTCTTTAGGAGAATGAGACCCATCATTGTTACTGGTATTTGGCATATTTGGTACGCCACGGGGAGTTTGCCAGACTCTGCCCTGTGGGCAGGCTACATTCGATAGCCTGCAAGTTTGTCCAGTAGAATTTTACAAGTAGAATTTTACAAGAAAAAAACCTCCAACCCCATCAAAAATGGGAAAAAGAAATGAACAGAAGTTTCCTCAAAAAAAAGAAATAAAAATTACCAAAAGACACATGAAAAAATACTCTACATCGCTAATCATCAGGGAGATGCAAATCAAAACAACATTTAGATATCATCTCACACCACAGAGACTGGCACACATCAAAAAGAACAAGAACAACCAATGCTGGCATGGATGCGGGGAGAAAGGGACTCTCTTTCATTGTTGGTTAGAAATGCCGACTGGTCCAACCTTTTTGGAAAACAATATGGGCATTCCTTTAAAAACCTAGAAATTGAGCTTCCATATGACCCAGCAATACCACTTCTGGGAATATATCCTGAGGTGCAAAAAAGCACAGTAAAAATGACATCTGCATTGCATCTGCATTGATATGTCCATTGAAGCACTGTGCACAATAGCCAGAATCTGGAAACGACCTGAGTAACTGAGAACAGATGACTGGTTAAAGAAACTTTGGCACATCTACACAATGGAATTCTATTGTGTAGATGTACCAATAGAATTCTATTCTATTGCAGCTGTTAGGAAAGATGAAGTCACGAAATTTGCTTATAAGTAGATGGACATGGAAATTATCATGCTAAGTGAAATGAGTCAGAAAGAGCAGGACAGACATAGAAGGACTGCACTCATTTGTGGAGTATAAAACAACATAATATGAGGCTGACTCCTAGGGATAGTAGATACACGGGATAGAAAGATTGCTCCATAGCTGGAAGCCTGACTCATGAGCAAAGGGGAGAAGGCAGCTGGAATAGAGAAGGATCACTAAGAAAATGATGGCTTGAGGAACTGGTCAGGATGGGAGATGTGTGCTGAAAGTAGATAAAGGACCAAACATGATAAGCTCTCAGGGTCTGAATTGCAAACCATAATGCCCCAAAGTAGAGAGAATGGGGAATAATGTCTTCCATGGAGGCAGGGGGAGGGTGGGAAAAGGGGGGTTGGGAGGGTATACTGGGGATATTGATGGTGGGGAATGTGCACTGGTGGAGGGATGAGTGTTTGATCATTGTGTGATTGTAACCCAAACATGAAAACTTGTAACTATCTCATAAAATTAAAAAAAAAGAAGCTTCTGCACCTCAAAAGATACAGTAACCAGAATGCAAAGACAATCTACAGAGTGGAGAAGGATATTTACCCAATACCCATCTGATAAGGGATGATATCAAGGATATACAAGGTACTGGTAGAACTCCACAAGAAGGAAACACCCAACCCCATGAGAAAAATGGGCGATGAAAATGAACAGACACTTTCTCAAAGAAGAAATCTGAATTGCCAAAAGGCACATGAGAAAATGGTCTACATCGCTAATCATCAGTGAGATGCAGATCAAAACAACAATGAGATATCATCTCACACCACATCCAGAAGAACAGAAGCAACCTGTGTAGGTGCAGATGTGGGGAGACAGGGACTCTCCTTCACTGCTGGTGGGAATGCCGACGGGTTCAACCCTTTTGGAAAACAGTATGAACGCTTCTCTAAAAATTAGAAATTGAGCTCCCATTTGATCCAGCAATACCACTTCTGGGAATATATCCTGGAGATGCAAAAATATATAGTAGAAATGGACATCTGCACTTGTATGTTCATTGCAGCACTGTTTACAATAGCCAGAATCTGGAAAAAACCCAAGTGCCTGAGAACTGATGAATAGTTAAAGAAATTTTGATACATCTACACGATAGAATACTATGCAGCTGTTAAAAAGGTGGAAGTCATGAAATTTGCATAAAAGTGAATCAACATGAAGAATATCATGAGTATAATGAGAAAATGCTCTACATTATCAATCATCAGAGAGATGCAGATCAAAACAACAATGAGATATCATTTCATACCACAGAGACTAGCCCACATCCAAAAGAACAAAAGCAACTGGTGTTGGCGCGGATGTGATGAGAAAGGGACCCTTCTTCATTGCTGGTGGGAATGTCGACTGGTTCAGGCCTTTTGGAAAACAGTATGGACAATTCTCAAAAAATTAGAAATTGAGCTCCCATTTGACCCAGAAATACCACTCCTGGGAATATATCCCAGAGAGACAAAAATGTAGAGTCAAAGTGACATCTGCACTTGTTTGTTCATTGCAGCACTGTTTAGAATAGCTAGAATCTGGGGAAAAAAACTGAGTACCCGAGAATAGATGACTGGTTAAAGAAACTTTGGTACATCTACACAATGGAGTACTATATAGCTGTTAGAAAGAATGAAGTCATGAAATTTACATACAAATGGTACTACATGGAAAGTATCATGCTAAGCAAAACGAGTCAGAAAGAGAGGGACAGACATAGAAGATTGCATTCATCTGGGGAACATAAAGTAACAAAATAGGAAACTATCACCCAAGAATAGCCAAATTCAGTACCAGGAGGTTTACTCCATGGCTTGGAGGCCAGCTGCACACTCTAGGGGTAAAGGTAGCTCAGATAGAGAAGAGAGCACCTAATAAAGGGTGCTGGGAAGATCCGCCCAGGATGGGAGATGCACGCTGAGAGTAGACAATAGACCGAACATGACTGCCACTCAATGACTCTTTTGCAAATCACAGCACCCAAAATGAGAGAGAGAACAAGAGGGAATGCCCTGCCACAGAGGGAGGGTGGGATGGGGGGATGGAGGGTGGAAGGGATACTGGGATTAGCACTGGTGGAGAATGGACACTGGTGGAGGTCTGGGTGCTCGATCATTGTATAACTGAAACCTAAGCACAAAATTTTGTAAGTCTACAACTGTACCTCATGGTGTTTCACTAATAAAAATTTTTAAAAAAGAGTATCATGTTAAGTGAAATGAGTCAGAAAGAGAGGGACAGACATCGATAGGATATTTGTGGGATATAAAGCAACAGAATGTGAGACTTACATCCAAGAATAGTAGAGATGAATACCAGGAGGATTGCTTCACGGCTTGGAAGCTGGCCTTACATGCTGCGGGAAAAGGCAGCTCAGATAGAGAAGGGACCACCAAGTATGGGGTGCTTGGAGGGCCCACTTGGGATCGTAGATTTGTGCTGAAAATAGACTATAGACTGAATGATGACCATTCAATACTTCTATTGCAAACCATAACACCCATAAGGAGAAAGATAGACCAAAAGGGAATGCCCTGCCACAGAGGCAGGGTTGGGGGGGGCTGGGGGTGTTAGGAGGGATACCAGGAACATTGGTGGTGGAGAATGGGCACTGGTGAAGGGATGGGTACTCGATCAATGTATGACTGAAACGTAAGCAGGAGAGTTTTCAAGTCTGTAACTGTATCCCATGGTGATTCATTACAAAAATAAAAAATTAATAAAAATAAATGAATAAAAAATAAAAAGAAGAAACCACAAAGTTTAGTGGGAAGAAATTATATCTCATATTCCAGAAAATGGAGTTTCGTTCCTATTCCACTCCGATTAGCCCTGTGACCTGGAAAGATGTACTTCTTTTAAGTTTCAATTTCCTGATCTTCAAAATGATACTATTATTAAATGAATTATGTATGTGCCTGGCTCATTGTAATTGCCTAATGTAATTATAATGAAATAAAGTCATGCCATTAATGATTCTAGTACCATGCTTTTCACATTGCATGTTATTTATAAAGGGTAGTTATTATTATTAGCCACTTTGTCTGAATTTATTTAAGCTATAATAACAGAGATGAGCAATGCAATATAGAATGACTTTTCTCTTTACAAACTCAGAACAATTATAGCTTAATGTCTTTGTTTTTATGACCTGGTTCCAGGTTAACAACAGCCCATTTTACCCTCAGCA